TGAGGACGCGGGTGCTGCTTGTAAATGAAGCTGAGCGAGACCTTGAGGTTCATGCCCAGCATCACAATCAGAGAACAGGGCTCTGCACTTGCAAACACATAACATCACATGTGCAGGAAAGGCAGAGGCTCTGCCTCTCTTAACCTGCCATCCTGATAGGCCTGTTCTGCAGAATGAAGAGATCAAAGCTCAGAGCAACTTAGACGCCCTCTTATCTTTTCTCTTTCTGATACAGCAGAAGCAGAAAAAGAAATCCAAGGTGCTACGTTTCTTCCCTTTACCAAACTCTGTCCCTACCCCAGTCTTAAAGACATGTCTAAGCAACAGAAGAAGAAATGAAAGATGACTTTCTTTTAAACAAATGGTCTTAACCTGACTAAAAATGTGAATAGAGTTAGGTTGTCAAGACTTAACACATTGTAACCATTACGGAATCACCCCATTCTCTCTTAAAACCCCAGTGCAGTTTTCTTGCATGCTACAGAAAAGGAATTGCGTCCTCCAGCTCTTGGGTCACCCCTCCCCTCCCAGCCCTGCCAGCTCCTCTGCTCACCCTGTAGAACAGGCCCTGCTCTTGTGCCCCAAGCTCCAGGCAGGAGAACAGGTAACCCGGGCCCTGTCCCGTAGGTGAAAGAGCAGGCACTCTGTCACTGAAGGGGGCTTGGGAGCTTCCACAGCAGAAGCAGGAGGTGCTGAATCCCAGGGCAGGTTCACAAGCTGCAGATCAAGTGAAGTTGAGGGGAAATCCCTACTGCAGGTAGGTCCTCTGGAAATGGCAGCTTTATGCTGAGGCTTGGGCATTGGCCCTATATCCAGGGTGAAACCAGGGTTCAAAATGCCTTTAGTTACAGTTTTAATTGGCAGAAGCAGACCTCTAGATGAAAGTTAGAAAGGGGCTTATAAATTCCTGGCAGTCTAGCACATTGCCTCCCCACCTTAAAGGTCCCTCAGAGCCTGCAGGGGCCACCTTCCCCCACCAGCCACTGCCCTCCCAAGCTCAGTAGCTGCCCGGCATCTGTGCTTCTGTTTGGCCTCTATCACACTTACATGGGTGCCCACCATTCAGTCATCCAGACCAGAAGTCAGCACATTTTTTCTTTTAAGTGACCAAATAGTTTTTATATATATATATATTTCCAAATAACAAATATTTAAAACTCTGGGCCATCAAGTCTCTGTGGCAACCACTCAACTCTGCCACGCTAATCTCCAGAACAGCTATGGCAACATGTAAATAAAAACAGCTCTTTATGAGCCCTGGAATTAACATTTTCACCCATTACATAATGTTCTTTTGATTATTTTTCCCCCCCCTATATTTTAAAAATCATACTTCCCACCTGTACACAGACAGGCAGTGGCCACACTCGGCCCGCAGGCCGTGGTCTGCTGACACCTGATGTCAGCTGTCATCAGCGCATGCCATCCACGGAGAACGCATGTCTCCACAGGGACTAGTGCACACATTCCCAGTGGGAGTGGGCACATTTCTCCTGCAGGGCTGGCCTTGATTCAGAAAACCACCTTTGGACCTTAAGCAAGTCTTGAGCTGGGCCCTGTTTTCTTTAAACACACACACCATGCATATCTCCATGCCAAGGAGAAGGAAGGGAGAAGAGGCTGGTGAGCTGAGAGTTCTACCCAGAGCAGGGAGTGCAGAGGTGGAGAGCAGGTGGGAAGGCACCATGGCTCGCTTTGTGAGCAGGAGGAGCGTAAAGGGACAGGTCGTCAGCACCTGCCTGCCCGCACTCACCTTTAAGTAACTCCAGTTGAATAAAAGATTCATCTTGGGACTGGGAAGTGTAGAGAGAGATGATCACAGCGGCTCTTAGCCTCCCACCCCTGTTCGTTGGCATGCTCTGCCGCAGCCCGCTGCAGACTTCATATTTCAGAAGCTTTCAGGGAAGGAGCCCTCCCCAAGCCAGGGAGGGAGGGAGAATTGCAGAGGACTGGGGACAAATGGGTGTTAAATGTTACTCTTGTTTCTAGTATGGTCTGTGAAAAGATCTACACCCACCCCAGCATGAGTGCTCTTTAAAAGGGTGGTTAGAGTTCAGTGCTGCCAGCAGCACTGAGGGCACCAGGGACAGGCAGCAGCACAGGGGACACACCATGCGCAGAAGCTTTCCAGACGGTGTTCCTTCAGGGGCCAGTGAGGGCATGGAAGGATCCAGATCCATAAGGCCAGGCCCGGCAAGCTGGTGAGAGTTGGTAATTGGAGAGTCATACTCACTGAGCAAATTGGCACTTGGGCCCCTCAGGGCAGAAGCCAACTAAGTAATTGAGACACATTATTCTGGGGACATGGCGATATTTACATAGGGGACCTGCTGGAAAAGAGAAAATGACCAGAAGGCTCTGCATTAGCAAGAGGGGAAGCAGGTGAAAGCTTCCTAAGAAGGGTGGGGGTGTAGATCTCCCCATCTTCTCCATAGTGCCCTGAAGCCCCCACTTCTGGCCACGAGACTGAGATGGGGGAAGGGAACCTCAGAGTGTATTGGGACAGGTGTCAGTTGGCAAGTCCTGAACATGCTGTGTCTTGGACTTATGTGGATATGGACTTGACTTTGCTGCTTCTTGTTTATTTAGCTGTAGAAGGTACAGCTGAGGAAGGCTAACCCCATAATCCTGCTGACCCTCCTTCAGGCATGCTCCCCTCTACAGGCCTCCAAACCAGCAGTGCTAAGAACTCGGAATAGCATAGCTGAAGGATGAACCCAGGTGCCTAGAGCACAGGGACCCTGGCAGGGGAACCTGCCTCACATGCTTAAGTGAAACTCAGGTCCTCCCAGGTGGTCAAAAGGAACAGAGACGAGAGCTCAGAGAAGGAACAGAGCATGTCCCATAGGCTGGACCCTGTGCCAAGGCCTTCTCAGGGTCAAGTCACTTGTTCAAGGTCAGGTAGCCAAAATAAGATTGGCACTTGGGTCCCTCAGGACCCATACATACCCAAGATAAGATTTGAATCCACATATACCTGCCCAGAGAAGCCCAGGGTATCTCAGCAGCCAGGGCGGACTGCAGAAAGGCTTTCCCTTGGGACTTCAGTGTGCTCCCCTCATCAGGGAAATGGCCCCTCCCTCCCCGGCTGAGCCCCCTTCCTCACCCCACCACCACCGTGCTTTGTATCTTTCAAGGCCTCACCATTCTGGCAGAAACCTTGGTCATACCAAGGACAATCCTGGGACCTGAAGGCTGGCTTCACATGGAGGAAGGGACACTGCTTGTTGTTGCAGTCACCTGAAAATTCCAGCATTCTTGTACGTAAGCGGGCTCCTCATCACAGTTACCGCCACCTCCCAAACAGGTTTGGCCTTGCCCCTCACATGCTTATAAGCTACTGGCTTTTCTACTGTCACCAGCAGTTTTCTGAAGATAGCAAGATATGCCGGATCCTTCCTGCAATCTAAGAAGGGTGGATTCCAGTAAAATTTGCTAAGCAGGGCATGGGTGTGAATGTTCAAATCCAGGAAAGCTGGGGCAGGACCACGTATGCAGAAGGAACCTCCTTAGAGGCTCCTGGCAAGGAAACAATGAAGAGACCTATGACGTTAAGTGGAGAAGTTGCCATGCGCTGTGACTAAGGCCTTCTGTTCCTCTCTGCTGCAAAACCTATACAGCTTCCAGAGCCTACCAGGGCCCAGTTCTTTCTGAAATGGAAATACCAAGCAATGCAAAGTGCTGTGTCAAGTTGCCATAGGGATAAAAATACACACTCACCAAGGGACACCTGCAGTATACTAAGCGAGTGCTGTGATCTGTGGATTAGACCAAGTCTCCTAAAAGGAGTGAGCCCTGTGGCACAGGTGACCCAGGAGTGGTTTTAGTAACCCTCTTAGATATCTCTTAGGAAGGAAGATCTGAAGGAAGCATTGGGAAGATTCAGCCCAGTTTCCCTTTATGCAAACTGAGAATTAATGGATGTTTCCAACTTTATCCTCTCTAAAGTCTACAACTCAGTACTTTTTCAAAGCTCAAAGGAGATCCATGGTGTCTTCTCCACGGGTTTTCATACTGCTCCAAAGAGATCCATTTTATATGCTGGGCTTCTGCAGGGCAAGATTTCCCCTGCAGGGGAGACCCCTCATGCCTAAGGGTTTAAAACCACTGTTCCTCCCAGCCCTCTCATTTTGCAAATGTGGATACCCATGTTCAGAAATGGGAAAGGTCACATCCACTCTCACTTGGCTTCCTCACTTTGGTGGAGGGTGTATTTGCTCATCACCAGCGTATAGCCCTGGCCAGAGTGCTGACTCTGGGCGTGAGTCTTCTAAGTCTTCCAGCATTCAATCCACATCCATTGGATCTGTGGAGATTATAATAGAGGCCGTCTATACACCTGCCTTTGTGCTGGAGCTCCCAGCATGTCGCTGCATTCCTTGCCTGGCCAGCAGGTGGCAGCAGCACCCTTCGGCCTGTCCTTTGGCACGGTCCACCGCCTGCCAAAGACCCTGGATAGACATCAGGGTCCCTTCAACCTCCCTTTCCCACTCCCACACCTCCCCCAAATACCTTTATAATTAAACAATTTGCATCCAATAAGAACTTGGATAATGTCTCGGCACCTATAGCTCAACGGGCTAAGGCGCCAGCCACGTACACCTAAGGTGGCAGGTTCGAATCCCCAGCCCAGACCCGCCAAACAACAATGATGGCTGCAACCAAAAAATAGCCGGGCATTGTGGTGGGCGCCTGTGGTCCCAGCTGCTTGGGAGGCGGAGGCAGGAGACTCGCTTGAGCCCAGGAGTTGGAGGTTGCTGTGAGCTGTAATGCCACGGCACTCTACCCAGGGGGACAGCTTGAGTCTCTGTCAAAAAAAAAAAAAAAAAAAGAACTTGGATAATGATATTACAAAGAGATATTCATTCATTTACTGTAAGATCAGAACCGTATGTTACATACTGTGACCATCAGTTTACGTGTCTGTCCCCCACTAACCAGAGGTATTTGAGGGCAGAAGAGGACCTGGCCCTACTCCTGTATTTGTTCCCTATAGTTTCTTATCCCAAAACAAATCCAAGTAAGGGGTACCAAGAGAATAACTAAGAGGTATTTTATAATGAAAGAGTTACATTTGGGCAACGGCCTTGGAGAGTGAGGCTCCAGATAAATTTGTCAGTCTTTCAAGGAAGGCATGGGGAAGCCCTTGGGAACTGCCACACCTTCGTCTCCGGGAGCAGGCAGGACACAGAATGTTGGCCCAGGAGGGGTGTTTGCTGGTCTAGGGTATGTTCTGCTTCCTTCCCATGTCCCCAAGCCCCTCCCTGAGGCACTAATGGGGACAGCTGCCTGGGGGTGGGGGCCTGAAGTTGGCTCAAGCCTCATCTGGAAGCTGAGCCTCCTAAGCCAGGGGTGTCCTTGGGGATCTGCCCAGTTTCTCTCTGCAGGTCACTCTTTCTGGCACACAGTTTGAAAACCACTGGACTGGTTAATCCTTAATGCTCCTTTCAGCTCTGGAAAGGATTGAGCTGTAGAATTTTACTGGGAAGGATGAGCCCTGAGGCGCATCCACAGATTCCATTCTTAAATGAGGGGAGGGTTGCTGCAATTCCTTCCTCAGTAGCCCCTTGGTCAAAAGGAGGACTTGAGGCCAGAAGGGAGGTAACATGGTATTGCCCCAGACCTGACCACACGGGACAGTTTTAGGGCTGGACTTCTGAACTTTGTGGGTCTGTTTAGTTACCTTTCGTTTCCAGCAAGTGATGCTAGTTTTTCATTTATGCAAATGGAAAGTTTTTTTCTAAAACACATGTAAGAGTTAAAATAGCAAGACAGTGGAAAGAGCAGACAGTGCAACTGGGGCTTTATGGGCACGGCAGGCATCGTGAAGGCGGCGCCCAGGCCCGATGCGAGGAAAGCGCTAAGCTGCACTCCCTGGGCTGAGAGACAGCCCATTCCGAGATTTATTTCCCAGCAGTCAGCCTGGGTCTGTGATCAGCCAGGACTGGGGAAGGCAACACCCCCCTTCCCTTTGGTGTGTATGTTGATCCTGGCGGAGCAGGAAAGGGCAGAGTTCCTGGGGTGCAGGTCCATTTCTTAGAGGGTTGGGGAAGGAGGCACTCAGGGCTCAGGCAGGCCTAGCTGGCCTCCTGGAACATGCCCAGTCTCCTTTGGGTCCCCCCTGAAAACCTCCCTCCCATCTCACAACTGCACTGCTGCCTCTGGGGTGAGGGCAGAGCCTGGAAGGGACCTTAGCGAACTTGGAGTAGAAGTAGCGCTGGGGCATCCTGGCAATGTTGCACTGGTGCAGGGACCCGCAGTGGTCACCTTTCTTGCACAGTTCCCGACGCCAGTGCTTACACACCAGTCTTCTCCCGTCGCTCATGCCAGAACGGGCAGAGCTTCCCTGGAGGCACCAGAGCAGCTGCTGGGAGGCCCTATCACCCACAGCCGGGCCCAGCTCAGCCCTCCAGGGAACCCCCAGAAAGCACTGGAGTTCATTCCTTAGTGGCTCTCCCTTTGCCTGTACCCCAGTGGGGGCCAAAACTGGGGTTCAAGGACCATGAAGGATAAGCTATTGTCTTAACAGGCCACTGTTTGTGTGGACACTCCTTTGTCCACCTGTCCCCTCTGCCTGCTGTGCCCTTCTCTGAAGGGCAAACAGCAGGAAGGCCCAGGCATGGGACAGCTGCCGCTGTGCAGTCCAACAGCACCTAACCCCAGCTCCTCCCACCAGAGAGCAGGCTGGGTGCCCCAGCCCTCAGTGCCCAGCTGGCCCTGCCCTTGCACATAGCAAGTGCTCAGTAAAGGCCTTTTCATGTCAGTTTTTATAAAAGGTTATGTTTTCTAATTCCAGAGACCTAACCGAGGGACATGAGAGCCAACTTTGTACACCCAATTTCTAAGTTTCTAAGCAGCACCAGCCTCAAGTGTGGCCAAGTCTCTGACAGAACTTGAGGAGTGGGGAAAGTATTCTCCTTAACTTCCCCTACCTTCCGTCCCAGGCCCTTGATTAGCCGGGTTCTGACTTTCCACAACCACAGTCTTACTTCTTTGCAAGGGGGTATCACTAGAACCACTGTGCTAGAAGGTGATGGGCCAAGCTGAGGACACACCACTGAGTTCACAATCAAGCCGGGGGTGGGGGGTGGGGGGTGGATCCTGGCTACACTGAGCTTTGGGTGATCAATGAGCTCTTCGCCCCTCTCACCCTGTCTCTAGGGCTCGCCCCCAAACAAACAAGGCAGGTGGGCAGACATGGCTCCAGGTCCCCCAGCAGCCCCCCAGCTCCCAGGGACAGAATCGTTCAGATCCCAAGTTCAGGCCCTAAACTCATCCACACCAGCAGGTTTTCTTAGCTTAGACCTACAGGCAGGATGCAGGGGGGCTCCCTGAAATCTGAAGCAAGTGTTTTTTTTTTCAACTATGTATTTCTTTCAGAGGTCCATAAACCAAAAAAAAAAAAAGTTGAGAAACCCTGCATTTGAGTTGAGTCTCCCCAGAATGACTGCTTCTGGGGAGGGGGTGTTACTTGTCAACGTTGGGGTAGAAGTAAAAGATGCTTTTTGGTGGCACTTCAAAGACAGTGGCCAGAGCTACCTTAGGCCACAAAGAATGAATGGGACAATTGACCAGTTTTCATACTCAGAGGAGACAACTAGGGGAGAAAGCGGCCACTCTCCTAACTGGAGAAAACAGGAGGGAGTGATGAGGTCTGGAGCTTCCTGGGAACGATCGCAGATGCCCCCACCCTAGCAAGGCAGCTGTAGTTACAGGTGCCACTGAGACGGGGAAGCCTTTGTGAGAGGTGGGCTGCTTGGTGGAGCCACCCACGTGTCCTTCATCTACCTATAAGTCTAACATTTAGTCCCATTCCAACCTCCCCTTCACAGGTGCAAATTCAACACCCAGGCCAGGCCCACTAACTTACCTTTTTTACACAGCCCTTTAGCAAAGGAGTTGCACACAGCTGAGCCTGACTCTGGAAGGAGAGGGAAGAAAGGAGAAGGCAGCTTCCTCAGGGCTGGGGGCTGTCTGTCCTCTTCAGTGAGGGCCTTCACCTCTCCATCACAAGTGCCACCTAAAACTCTCCCATGCTCAGGCCTGTGAGACGCTCCAAATCTAGGCCCTTTGGTAGTCTCCCGAACCCCCGAGCCAGCCTCCAGGCCTTAACATTACACCTTAGCTCTGAAACAGAGGAGAAGGAGGGGGTCAAGCCCAGCCTGGGGGCTTGGGAGGCCCATATGGCGTCTCTCAATCCACCTCTCTGTGTCTCTCCTCAGTCTGAAAAATGGATTACCCAGCAGCCATAGGAGAGAAAGACAGAAAGAAGCGAGCCCCATCAGGGAGCAAAGCAGAGTCCTGCAGAGAAGGCTGGGGACAGTTGGCAGCCCTGCCCCACTCGCTGTCCATGCCCTGGAAAGGCAGGAGCCCAGTGCCCTTTTGCATTTCGACATCCTTCTTGAAGGCGAAGGTAAACCCTTCCAGCCTTGCAATGACCTCTTGCATCTTCCATCTCCTGCTGGGACTGCTAGAAGCTGCTAGCACCACTGCAGGTGGACCCTATATAGCTGCTTGGCAGCCCTTAAGGGGCCAGGGTCTGATGTGTCTCCCTTGTTCCTGGGATGCCAGTGGCAGGTGACTGCAGCCTGGGCTGTGCAAGAGTGGGGCTGGGGCTGCCTTACCCTGCACCCAAGCAGGTGCAGAGCCCCGGGGTCCCTCACCCCCACACTGTGTACTTAAGTCCCACCCCGATGGGGAGGGATTAGCAAAGCCCACACAATGCTCATCTCTGCAGGTCACCAGACAGGAACACGGCATGTGCACAGACATTACCACACCTGGGCTCATGCTTTCACACGAAGACAGCCACAGGTTAGCAAATTCAGAGTTGCACAAACCAACCACAGCAAGGCTGTTCCAATTCTGCCAGAGCTTGCGGGCCAGAGGGCGTGGGGTACAGAGAGAGGGAGCCCCCCTCCTGACCATCTTATTTCTTCCCATAGAATCCCAGCCAACCCCTCCCTCTAGGACCCCCTGACACCCCTTTTCTGGCCTTAGTGACAGGCCTGGAGTGAGCTCTTCATGGGAGAGAGGGGAAAGGAATGAAGTCCGGAGAAATCGGAAATATTCGGATGAATAGCCCTTTGTTTACTTCGCACACAGTGGCAAGCTTGGCAGGAGGGCGGAACCAACCCAAGGCCGGTTGGCCTCCCAGCCAGGATTCCACTGGGCCACCCTAGTGACTCCCCACCCCTGAGAAAGTGCTTTGTGAAATCTCTATGCAAATGTTGTTTTATTATTATTACACCACCCCTGCCTGCAGGGCTGTGGACATCTGAAACTGCTTTCAAAGCAGCATTTTCAGACTAATCAGATAGGTCTCCCTCCCCCTGCTCTGGTCCCAAACTGGCTTCGCCTCCAATTGGAGCTGCTGTGCTCAAGAATGACATTGGCCTTGGATGTCCTCGAAGCAGAAGCCGCAGCCCTCCTTCCCGGGTATCGGGACCCAGCTGGGAGAGGAGGACCGCCCGGAAGGCCTGGTCCTACGTGACGGAGCCTGCTGGCTTTTGTTTTTTGTGGCTGTGGCTCCTGTTCTTTTGAACTCCAGATAGAAAAGAAAATAGCTGGAGAGGGAGACACCTGGAGCCAGGGCAGGTCTGGGAGGGGCACTTCCAGAAGCTCTGACCACATTCTCTGGGGGAGGCAGAGCTCCAGGGCTGCGAGGGGGTGGAGACAGGGGTCCTTGGGGCAGCAGCCTCGCTTCTCTTGGCCTTATTCCTGTGCACTGATTAGTTGTCCCGAGAATACATTCATCTGTCAACAAACACAGGCTTGGTGGAGGCTCACAGCTGCCTGGCAGGGCAGGCCTCCCGATGAGGAAATCAAGGCCCAGAGCGGCCAAGGGCAGGGCTTGGAGGGGACAATGACGGGGTTCAAACCCAGGTCTCTGCCAAGATCCTTCCGTGACCATCCCCTGTGCCTTTCTGTGCCAGGCCCATATCTCTGCCTTGAGGATGGCAAGTGGAGGACGCAACCATATGATACAAGAGAGTTATGGGGGGCAGGGAAAGATCTCAGAGGAGTCTGGTGATGATGGGGAGGGACTCTTTCCCAGAGAAGGGAACCAGCAGCACAAAGTCATGGCCATGGGGCAACATGAAAGCTGAGGACATGGCAGGGTCTGGTTTGGCAGAAACCAGGCTAGAGGAGGGGAGTGGAAGGTGACAAGTCGGGCAAGCTGAGAGGGGACCTCTTGGGAGCCCACAGCCCTTGAGTAGATGCCCTGGGGATGCAGACTGAGGTGCTCTCTGGGACTCTGGTGGCCTCCTGGAGCTCACAGATGAGGGATGAACATGAAGGAGACCCCCAGCTGCTCTGCCTCCTGAGGTCCTGCCTTCTACCTGGGTGCCCTGTCCCACCTCTAGACACCAGCGGAAGGTGGATTCCCTCCTTAGTTTGGTGAAAGAACATGGTGGCGCCCTGCGTTCATGGTTTTTGCTCATTTCACACAATTTTTGTAATGCACAGAACTGGTTCCCCCAGAAAGTCCAAGTCCTAACCCCTCAAATGTGCAGATGTGACCATATTTGGAAATAGTGTCTTCACAGGTGTCATTGGGTTAAAGAGCTCCAGACGATATCCTCCTGGCATTAGGGTGTGGCCTAAACCCAACAACTGATGTCCTTATAAAAGAAAAAGAGGTATTTGAGGCACACAGATACAGAAGGGACTCAGAGAGGCCATGTGAAGACAGAGGCTGAGATGAGTTACACGGCCTCCATGGGCCACCAAGGACTGCTGGCCACCGCTGGAAACCAGACCCCCTCACACCCTTTAGGAGGAACCAACCGTGATAACACCATCACCACCACTACCACCATTACCTCCAACTTCTGGCCTCCCGAAGGCAGCAGAGAATGTATTTCTGTTGTTTTAAGCTGCAAGTTTGTGATAATTTGTTACAACAATCCGAGGGAACTAGTATACCTTCTCCTCTGGAAATGGAGTTTCCGAAGAGCTCACCCCTTTCACAGATGAGCAAACAGAAAACCAGAGAAGTGCAGGTTTGCAGAGCCTCTCTGAGTCTCAGAGAGGCTGGGGGAGCTGCCTGTCCTTCCCACCGCCCCCCTGTCTCTCCCACCCCTGTTTACACAATCCCCCGGGCTCCCGAGGGAGACCAGCATCCCATTGTCCAAAGGCAGACAGCACAAGCAGTGCCCCAGTCCCTGGATGTCCCCTCTGGAACTTCGCAGCCTGTTCTTCTGTGCCCTGGAACTTATTATCCCAAGCGCTTGTGTTTTCATTTTTTAATTAATTCATGGGTGCAAAATGGACACCCAAATCGCTGTACAAATAGTGGCGTTAATTTTTAATCACCATCATTATGAGGCTCTCATTTAGCTCTGGCTGCAAATTTCCTGAATCATCACCATCCGGCTCCTTCCCCTTTATAAATGTACTGCCCTGAAAAGCATGGGTGAGGTGGGGAGGGCTGAGGGGGGCCTTTGGAATTCTCTGGCTGCAGGGCCTGGCCAGGTCATCATGCCATCCCCTGGCCTTGCATCAATGACAGCCAGCGCTTTGCTGGGCAGAGTGCGGCCATGCCCGCCTCCATTTTATCCTGGGCCGCTGCCTCACTCCCCATCCGGCACTCTGCATTTGTGGAAAGGGTGTGAACAGTGGCATCAGGCAGACCAGGGTTCAAATTCTGACTTTGTCAGTCACCTACCTGTAATCACCTCTCTGAGCCCAGATTCTGCACACTGTATCCCACCTCCCACGTCTGCTGGCACACACACACATGCACACACAGACACACAAACACCTGCTCCAGGTAAGACATTGGGGATGTGTATGGCTTGATGCTCAAGGACCCAGGTGTCCTGCCTCTAGGTCCACAGTACCACCCCATCTTCAAGTTCATTGTTCTGAAGGGCCCCTGACAAAATGGGCCTTGGGGGGCAGGGGCTCCAGGTTTCTTCAGTGGGATCTGCTGGAAGGTCCAGCAGTGATATCTGGGCAAATGAACAGCTCAAGGGCTTCCAAAAGGCCATAGCTCAGGTGTACATGACTCCAAGGCCAGGCTCCTTCCAGCCTACCGGGCTGCAGCGCTGGGAGTGGGTGGAGAAAAAGGAGGGGTCCTTGTCACACACAGCTGCTGCGTCTCAGCCCCGGGGACAATGAGCCAGTGTGTCCTGCCCTCTCCACCATTCTTTGTGCCCCAGAGATGCCACTTGGAGAGGACAGCTTTTGGTCTCACAATAGCCACTTGAAGTGCAGGGCAGGTTAGTGCAGCGGCCCAGATAGTCCTGCCCTGTAATTGCACAGGAGCCTGGTTTCTGGGAGCCAGACAGTCTTCGGGTCTATACCCAGAAAAGGGTGTCTGTTTCCCCCTGGGGCTTGGAACAGGAACAGGACTAATAAAGTACCCCATACTTCTCATCCAAGGCCTCCCCTAGGCCTCAGTGCAACCTTCCCAGTTGCTTAGGGCAGTGCAACCTTCACAGTTGCTTAGGGTGACCAGATTTTAACATTTGAAAAGCAGGACAACATGGCCAGGGGGTGGGGCAGGGGCGGGACAGGAGATGGGGCAGGGCAGGGCCTGACGACAATGCGAAATTTGATAACCAGTTCTTGATAATCGCTTCTCAACAATTATTTGTTATTATTACAGTTTAACATTATAAAATTAACAAAAATAATATAAAACTCATATTCTGGCTAAATAGCCACATGGCAGCCAAAAACTGTATATTCTCTTCCTTTTCTCCCACCTGTTTTTTTTTTTTTTTTTTGAGACAGAGCCTCAAGCTGTCACCTGGGGTAGAGTACTATGGCATCACAGCTCACAACAACCTCCAACTCCTGGGCTCAAGCGAGTCTCCTGCCTCAGCCTCCCAAGTAGCTGGGACCACAGGTGCCCGCCACAACGCCCAGCTATTTTTTGGTTGCAGTTGTCATTGTTGTTTGGTGAGCCCGGGCTGGATTCGAACCCGCCAGCTCAGGTATATGTGGCTGGAGCCTTAGCCGCTTGAGCCACAGGCACCGAGCCTCTCCCACCTGTTTGTGCATTCTTTCCAAAAATTGGGACTTTTAAAACACTGCAAGACAAATTGTTAAAAAGCAGGACTGTCCCGCCAAAAGCAGGACGTCTGGTCACCCTACAGTTGCTCAACCCATTTTGCAGATTAAAAGACCGAGGCCTGGACATGAACCTCCTGCCTAGAACTTGCGGAAGGAATTTAGCCCTGCGGACACTTTGACTTCAGCTTGGAAGAAGCCATTTGGCCTTCTGAGAGGAACTGTTTCCAGCTACCACATCTGTGGGGATTTGTTACTGCAACAACAAGGGAACTAATACAGAGAGGAGTGTCACTGTATTAGGGGCAGCGAAGCCCTGCCATGTGGGAAACAGGCGTTTGCTGAGGCCGGGAGCGGGGGATGGGGGGGTGGGGGGGGTGGGGGAGGAGTCTTGTCCAGGCAGCAGGGAATGAGACTTTCAGCAG